CCCAACAATGGGACTTTTAGGACCTAGCCCACGCGAGTTAGATTCCGCCTGACGTTAAATAGTAATAAATAAATAAATAAATATACCACCTCTCTCCACATCCCTCCGTAGCTCCCAACCTAAAAATCACCACCATCCCCTAATCTAACCCACCAACAACCACTGATATCCTAAATCCCCCTATCCCAAAAACCGACCGAACTAACCGAACCGACCCAGCCCCCCCACTCCTAAAAAGACTTGTAAATTAATCCCAGCGCCGCCAGAGGGTGCAAACCAGACGAACTGCGGTTTTTCCATTAGACTCTCATTCATACCCTCTTCCGTTCTTAGTGATCAAGCACTTGCCTTTGGAATTCAGTATGTATAGTACGGCAGGTTGTCTTAGCATTACACTGCTTAAAGCCTGAAAGACACGTTCTACATATTCGTACAAATAAGTCGTGGCTGGTGACATACTTGAGTTTTAAAGGAGGTTGATGGGTATTTGTATTTGGGTAGGTAAGTGTGGGTAAGCGATCGAGGGTTGAGCACAGTAATTCTAGCCTTGGTATCTTTATGGTGAGTTTTGGGTTCGTTCGCGGTGAGATGCTTTAATAGAGGGTTGTTTAATTGAGCAGAATGGCCTGTTATTGATTCCTTGAAAGAGGTTCTTCTTCCTTTACGTTTCTGGGATCGCCTTTTACCGGGTCGTTGTCTTCCTCATCACCCATCCCCCCAGGCATCTTTCCATCTCTTTTTTCCTCATCAAGTGTAGGTCCCTTATACAATTCATCGAATAATATCAAAACAAGTAAGCAAAGAAGAAAGAAGCCACCCCAACAACCGAAACCGAATAAACAAACACTCCTGCTAAAACCAGTAGCTCAACCATCATGAACAAGCCACCGTCTTATTCGGCTCCCGATCCTACTGACACACCCCGGAAGAGAGATAGACAGGCGGAGCTTTCCTGCTTTGACTTGATTAGAGCTTTAGTAACTGTCTACAAAACAGAGGAATGTCTGAGGGGTTATAGTTGTGTCAAGGAGTCAGGTCAGGTGACCTGCGTTCATTCATGAAGCTAATCACAATTATGGATAAACCAGCACAGACCAGTGTCAACCGACTTAAAAGATAGATCCCCTTAAGAATCTCTTCTCTCCCTGTAATCAATCTATTCAACCAAGTCGCAATTGTCCTCGACTTGCACTTGTACCGTGACAAGTTGAGCTTTGTGGGATTTCGTGGGGTGATGGAGTTGATAAGGACGGGAAGAACTCGTGATTTTTAGTTAATGCTTTCCGAGGAATCTAGGGTATACCTTTAGTGCGGAAGAATATGGTATATTGAATGGCAGTAGGACGTATCAGGTAACGGGGAGGGAGATGAGGATGTTTCTGAGGATATAATGGTTTACTATTTAACCTGCAATGTGTAGTGGTTAATTGTAAGGAGGTCTACAGGTAGATCAAAGTGAAGGGTGGAATGCGTCAATATAAGTGGACGAAGTGAAGCTGTCGATAATAAGAGAGTCTGTCGAAGGTGAAAAATTGACTTGATTATTCTAAGTACAGAGGAATGCAGAGCATATATAGATAGGAGCGATATTTCCTAATTTAGCTAGTACGAGAGTACAAGCGAGTGCGGGACAGGATACGAGCTAATTACCGACATATAGTTCTAATTTAGGCTGTAAATGCCTCAATATAGTGCTAATATATCGAATAAATGCCGCATTATATTTGTGAGGGTTGGAACCCATGATGGAGGCTCGGGCCATGCCCTCGCTAAGCACTGACCAAAGTCCCTGCTTAGCACTGGCCATTACCCCACTGCCAAACAGGTTTCTACTTTTCCACACTTTCTTTTTTTGTTCTTCTGACATCATGTATTCGTCATTCAAGTTTCTTGCAAGTTTCTTGGAATATTCAGGAAGCTCTTCCTCTCTATATATAGAGGAAGAGNCTCGCATGTATGTAGTCCTCACGCACTTCTTAATTGAATATTCGAAACCACACCTTTGAGCTATTCGAGGTCTGGCCTCTCACAATATTAGTGCAATTTCGTAATTCCAATGCTAATTTATCGTATAAACAGGCCGAAATAACTACCGAAATACGAACGACAAATAAACAAGCTTACGTATTAGTCATTTCCGACATTAATAATATATAAAGAGCTTAGATTTCCGAATCATCAGTAAGCTTACTCTAGTGTTCATTGTATGTTAGCTGATTATACTCAACGTCATCACTCCCACCATCAAAGAAACCCAGCCCACTTAAAGCTCATGAAAACATGCAAAACAGCATTTGAAAATTATCTATTCGTATCATTATGGACTATCATCCTGCCAAGCAAAGGCGGCATCGGGTATCGTAAACTGGGGAAACATCCATCCATCCATTCATTTCTCCATCCCCCCACCACTACCTCCAAGCGCAACATTACATATCCCATTTTCCAGTGTATATCTACCGACCGAAAAAGAGCGGGGTAGACATGGTGTCACATTCAAGGATATTAAACTCCCCCATATTAAAAAGGCACAACAACCAACGCAAAAAGAAAGGTCATTTCCTTAGCGCTGATTTCTTTTTTTTTTTGGATTTGTTTTAAGCAGCTTGGCCAGGATTGACCTGGATGAAGCCCGCCGAGTCGGAAATCAACATGCCCGCGATACTGGCTGAGGTGAGCGTCGCAATGACACCGGAGACAAGAGCTGAGAAAGCAACCGAGGCGATACGACCAGCTCGGTTGGGGGCGAGTTGGGAGAGGACTCCGATTTGGATACCGACCGAGGAGATGTTGCCGAATCCGCAGACGGCGTAGGTGGCGATGAGACGGGAACGGTTGGAGAGGGCGAGGTATGCTGCGTCGGTGGAGAGGGTGTTGAACTAGAATATGTGAGTATTTTGAAGTGAGGGGTGGATTATAGATGAAGAAAGACTTACAGCGACGAATTCGTTGGCGACGATCTTGATACCAATTAATTGACCAACAGCGAGGACATCCTGCTTTTGTACACCAAGGAGCCAAGCGACTGGGTAGAAGATCCATCCGATGAGCTTCTGAATGGTCAATTGGCGGATGCTGAGGTAGCGTGCGAACCATCCCAAAAGAGCGTCACACAATCCCAGGAGAGCAAGAATACAAAGTAAACTGGCGATGATCATACCACCGATCTTGATACCCAACCAACCACCATTGGCAAATGCGTGAAGGCTGTTGGATGGTTTCTCCTCGCTTTCATCCTTGGGGATAACGATCTTTCCAGCAGTGATAGACTCTTCAGTTTCGGGCCATCGAAGCTTGGAAATGGCGAGAGATGCAGGAATACTCATGACACAAGAGGAGACCAATGCCAAAGGACTGATACCCATAGCGATATAGGCGGCCAAAACGGAACCAGCAATGGTAGCAAAACCAGAAGTCATGACTTGGTGTAATTCAGCATCAGTGAGATGAGGAATGAAGGGCTTGATCAACATAGCTGATTCTCCTTGACCAACGAATGGAGATGCTGCGGCGACGACTGCCTCAGCTCCAGAAACTCCCATGAGGTGGAAGAAGAGAAATGCGATCTTCTTGATTCCCCATTGTAGCAAGCCCCAGTAGTATAAGAGTTGGACCAAAGCCACGAAGAAAATGATTGGCGGGATAACGGTAACGACGAACCAATGGCTATCCAGAGCAGCTTGACCAGTAAGGAATAGAGTTCCGTCACCAGCAAAGCCAAGACCAGTTGCAGCAAGATACGCGATGAAGTTGAAGATATCATAACCTGCTGTGGTACGAAGCACAAACAAAGCCAGGATGAATTGAGCAAGCATGCCAACAATGACAGTCTTCCATTTGATCATCTTGCGGTTGTTTGAAGTGATGTAAAAGCAGAAAAGGAAGACTACCAAGCCAAATAGACTGACACCTCTGTTTGCGCGGGTGTTATCAGTGCTCTCCTCTGTAACAAAGGTACCTAGCAGAATGACACCAATTGCACCAAGTGCTCCAAGGGGTACTTGAAGCTTCTCAGGAATCATTGAAACAGGTTTCTTGACACCATAGTCAATGATCATACCGAAAGGTTTGGTGACATATTTGACTGAGATGTGAAGAGTGATGAGTCGGATGGTGATGGCGAGGTAGACAAGGAATGGTTTCAACCAGCCGATATCTTTGCGGTGGAGGACAAGACCAACGATCCACCAACTATAGACATTGTTAGCTGTCTGCTTTATCAATTGATCTGGGAAATAGGAATACGAACGCAGTGATAAGGAGCCATGCAGCGAGGTGGATGAAGATGCGGAATCGCTTGTAGAGCTGTCGGATCTTGGATGGCTTCTTGACTGCTGGCTCCTCTTCAATTGAAGAGGTTCGCTTGATATCCTTCTCACTACTGGTGCTGACATCTTTGGCATCAACGGAATAGGCTGCGGTGTTCTTGTTGTCAATGTAGATGGGAAGGTCGGATTTTGATGGAGAGGGAGTGATGGTTTGATCGGTGGTCTTGTTAATGGCGAGGCCATTCTCTTGATCTCTCTCGGCGTTATTTGAAGCCATGTTGGACATGTTTCTAGCAATACGCGCACGCGTTGAGGCGGATTAAAGGTGGAGGAGAAAAAAAAAGATGGAGATCGACCGACACGGGACTGCGATAAATATCGGTGGAGGAGTCGACTGGAGGTGAAGCTGGTGACACGGGAAAGAAGCGGGCTCAATCAAGAACTACGCGACCTATCAACAGCAAGCGAAAGGCTTCCTATTGACGTGACTGGTCAATGGCGACTCAACACAACAATTCACGGAGGAAGTTCAGTGGCAGTAGATCCAGCTGAGTGTACCACGTCGGAAGAGCTTGACTATTTAAACCTTCACTCTACTCCGTACCCGTACCCGTACCCATCCACTCTGTGCTGATAGGCATCCTGGCCCTGGCTGGCCACTGCATCTGCCATCTGCACATCACGGTCTGGTAGTGGAAATCTTCTCTGGCTCTGCCCCACGGCGCTGCACCCGCAGATTACGTTCATAGTGACAGTCCCATGTGCGAACGGTGCAGCGAATCTGTATCCCTGCTGGAGACGATAAGAAGACCCCGCAAGCTCCAGTCCCCTTACAGCACTGGCCTAGCTACGAAGTACAGTAGCTCCAGTGTGCAGGCTAGCTCGTAACTAGTGACCGCTAACCAGGTTGGGAGGGGAGCCAACTACAATTCAGCCGATCAAGCCGTTGCCACCAATTGCTACCTACCAATGCTGTGGACAAGAGCTCTGGGGGTGAAGAGTAAGAGTAAGATAAGAGCTGTAGCTAGGCTGAGGTTGAGCTAGACCTCCAAAGACCCTCAATAGCCATCAACGAGTACTTCGTACTTCGAAGTATCAAGTCTCTCTCAGCCTTGGCCCTAGGACAGATTCTCGGGATCTATTCACGAAAGAGGCAGGTGCTCACTATCGTCAACATCTTAACCTGCCCCTCAAGAACCACTCTGTCCACTCACGATATCATGGACAAACAAGGTTCCCGAATCGCAGCCAGAGACCCACTTGATATGCGGAGAGTGGCCCATTCCGAAGACCCACTCCTGAACCTGAGCGATGGGAGTTTGGAAAACAAAACCCTCCAGGAACGGAGGAAATATGGAATCGTGAACTGTGAATGGCTTCAACTGCAAACCATCCGGAGAGAAGGCGTCTGCGAGGTCGATCATCATCGCCGAAGAGGAAGGAGGAGAGCCGAAACTCCATGTGGCGTTGTGGCGTCTTCCCAAACGGCAGCCATCCGGTCTGGCAACCATCATATCCTCGTCCATCATGTCCCGTCTGTCTGAACACCTCGGCTCACCACAGCAAAAGACAGCTCGCCTGGTGCCTCAACTCGTGGAACATTTTTCCAGTGGCACAGCGTACAGTGATGTCTGGTTGTACGGCCTTCATACGGTATGGCCGTCACGTACTCCCAGACGATGTCGAAAAGGTTTTCCACAGAGAGTTGAAGCGCATCGTCCGATATAGAGTACCACTGAAAGATTTTTCTCGAAAAGAATTGTGCGAGGGTTGGTGTAAAAACGAACACACGCGACAACTTAATTACCACAATCAGGAGGAAACAACCAACACGGCTATCGAAAAAGAATTACCCGTATGTCAGTCCTCCCAGCTTCACAAAATATTTGTCTGGACCCTTGATTCTTATCTGATACCCGTAAGCAACGCCAATCATGCCTCCGGAATTTCTCCCATGGTTGAGAAGATTACGGCCTATCAGGGGTTTTCTGCAAACCTGCGGACTTGACCGACTTGTTCTTCCAAGCCAAGAAATAGTTGATCCGTCGTGCCACTAAGACACAGGTTATCCTTTGCAAAGGTCGACTCGAGTTGTTCAATTTGCATACGGTAAAAACATGCCAGTTGCTGCAGCCAACCACGGTTGAACGACGCCTCTGTGCATTTTTGATGTTGCCACTGCGCCTTCGGTTGCCCTTCTAGAGTCTTTCCTTGTTGGGATTACTGCATCTCACTCTGCAATAAGCCGAGAAAGATCCATGTAAGCGTGACAGCGGCGTGGTGTATTCCAATTGGGAAGGATACAACAGATATCCAGAGCCAGCATTTTTGTTCCTATAGTTTCCTAACACTCGCTGCGACTCGACTGGTCCACCCATTACGACCACTCCCCGCGGATATTTTGCGAACCCTCGCTTCAAAATGTCAATGGAGGGGAATTGGCCAAATTTAAAATCTTATATAAATTATGACGAATGCCGGGGTTATATATAGCGGAAAGGCTTCCGTGACTACAATTGTAGAAGCATTAACGGAGCCGTGGAATACGCAGCGATAAGACCCATAGAGTTTTCGTTCGACGGTACTGTAAATCCATATCCTGAGATTTCCCAAGGGACTGGTAGGCAATAATGACGAAGCGGAGTATGGTAGTTATCTCTCTGTTCGACATCTCTATTCAAGCTATCAATTGGCTGGCGTGAGACTCACGAAATCAGAATATCACTACCAAAACTAGAGAATTCTAGGGTTTTCCATGTAATTTTTACCTTGCGAGGCTATTCTCGACGTTCTAACAATCAGCATACTTGTACTTGCTACTAGATCTTCATGATAAAAACAGCACGATCTAGAAATGGGACGCTTTAATAAATAATAGCTAAGGGCTTACTTTGAGTACTCTCGTACACTATACAACTGCGCGCAGAAGCGCCCTAACTAGTCAGACTTCAAATAAACTTACCTGGTATACAAAGATATGTAAGGATAAAGTATCTCCCCAGTTTTGAAGAAAAGGCCATCCATGGTTTTCTGTAAGACTTTCCATCTACCTAATATATCTATCTATATAGGGCTGTCTAGTTGGGTGGGTGAGTCTGAGTCAGTGTACCACGTGATCATACCCAATCGCTCCTTCCATTCCTAGGTAGCTTTAAGTCTACCATTTCTCTTCATCGTACCTACTTCTTACTACAAGCCTTCTCACAGAACCAACTCCCCATCCGAGGCTCGTAGAACCATATACGTCATTCCTCGTCATTTTGAGGCTGTAAGGAATCAAGACTTGGAAGGAATCCGAAGGTTTGTCTTGCGTACCTAGTTGAATCTTTGCTGAGGAGTTCTCTGTGCTTAGCTGCTAGAAAGCTGGACGGTGAAGTGACGAGTATCTATCCACTGAGGTGCGCTACCGTGCCTACCTAGCTAGTCACGATGGGTACACCCGGCTTTTTTATTTAGCTGTGAAGAAGCTCTAATGTACTTTGTCTAGTACTGGTGTGACTGTCTTACTTGGATTTACTGGCTGTGCGGAATGAGTTTAGATTTAGTTCACCGTTCGCGGGGTTCTTTATAGTATGGAGCTTACCAATGGTTTTAGCTCGTGTACAGTACTTTGATTGATTTTCTTTGCTCGCTGGATTTTCGTGGTAAAGTGTGGTCTTACTGTTATAGAAAGGGGCAGGAGAGAATTCTTTACTCTCTAGATCTGAGGATTTTGATTTGATCGGTTGGGGTGAAGTGGTGCAGATTCAGGATACCGTGTGAGGTAGTATACTGTTATAGCCTTTGCTTCTCTATGATTTTCCCCAAGGAGAAATTGTTAAATATACATGTATGTGGACCCCTAGAAAATTATATACGGAGACGAGATCGTACTTTTCATCGCTTTGCTTTGTGATAATCTACGGGTATTATATCAGACGTGAAACGAAAGATATCATGCAAGTTCGTGGCAAGTATCTTTGGCAAGGCCAATCCAATTATTCGTTCATGATATCACGTGGATCCAGTTCATCAGGGTGAAGGGCGGGGGTATCGTTTATATCCTTTCATCCCCTCATCACTTCTACCTAAAGTCTTGGCCAAAATATACGCATTACTGTGCCCTCAGACGTAGGGCGGAGAGTCTGGTTAAGGATTGCTATTACAACACCATTGTTACACCAACCAACAATCCTTCTAACCCCTCATCAAAAGTTTGAGGGGTAATGTACCACCTCAATCCTTGGTGATCGAGCTTTGCAATGTTTGTGTTTTTTGAATCGCATGGCACTGCGGCTGTATTTATGAAAATTGAATCCTTTTGGAATGAGAGTAGCCTGGTCATGTTGGTGTGTTGACTGGGGCAAACGTCTCGATTAGCTACAGTAGTTTCAGGTTGTTTGGACAGACATCTTTACACCGCCGAGATAAGTTTCGGTGGCAAGGGCCTTTTACTTACATATCCTCGGTTCAAAGCTATGTAAGAAGGAAATTGGGAAGCTGTGAAATTTGTCATTTCAAGTTTGATTTTAGTAACCAACATGAAATTAGAATGAATTAGTTGTTTGGTGACTGCATTCTTCGTATATCTAATAGTCTCAAGGTGGCGCATGGCACTTACGTTTCATTGCATCCAATGTCTCTTTCCCCATAGCAATTGCATCGAAGGAACATCTCAAGTTAAGTGGTTTTTTGAAGTTTAAATCCATTTGATGCTCTCGCCCTCACACCAAACAAGGTCATATCTAAGGCACAGCCCTATGGAAACGTAGAACTTGACATCTTCACCGGGTAGGTGAAGTCCCCATTGCCAATCTTAGAAGCTCGAAATGCGCAGGCTGTTTTATGAAGCGAAATCATACGTAATTTCCAGGCTGGTTTGTAGGGAGGAAGTTTGCGTCACACTACAGTGAATGGCAGAGCTTTTCTCGCTTATTTTGACATCATTACCCCGAATCCCAACGGAAACCCCTCTATAAAAAAGGCTGGAAGCATTTTTTATTTTCCTCTTCAAGCATCCAACTTTCTTCCCATTTTCTTTCTTGACCGCAGAGCGAGTTACACATTCCTTGAGTTCATCCAACTTGAATCTCAACAGTCCTTCCTTTACAATTTGCGCTTGCGCATCGACTTTCTTTAACTAAACCACAATTTTAGCATCAATCATGGTTTCTATCAAGGCATTGGTCTCTGAGCTTCGCTCTTGCTACCTGCTCCCTTGCTTCTGGTTTTAAATTGGCGAAGTCCTATGATGCGAGTAACTGGTTTGACTCTTTCACGTACCACAATGTAAGTCGCAAAGAGTACACTCTGTTACCACCTGTTATCAGAGCCATCTGACTTTTCAATCTTAGAGGGATGACCCTATACATGGAACAGTCGACTACGTTAACCTTACTGATGCTCAAAATCTTGGCTTGACCAAGATTGTCAACGGCCAAGTCTACATGGGAGCCGATTCTCAATCTGTTGTTCCTTCCAACAGCCGAGGACGCAAATCCATCTGGGTTACCAGCAAGGAGGACTTCAACCACGGTCTCTTGGTTGGCGATTTCGCACATGTTCCAGCCTCCGACTGTGGTGTCTGGCCAGGTTTGTAAGTTCAATCACTACAATCATATCCCTAGCCTATTTCAATGTTCAACTCTGACCCATCCCCTCACTACAGCTGGGCCATCCGTGAAGAACTAAATGCCCCATACGGCGAAATCGACATCCTCGAATACTTCTCCGACAGCCCACACGGATACATCACCCTGCACAGCGATCCCAAACTCCCCGACTGCGTCTTCAAGCAATCCTCATATGGACAAACCGGAGAAGTCAATCAAGGCTCAACCTCATGCTCTGGCGATATAGGCTGCTCAACTGTGGGTCCTGACAACGGAGCTGGAACCGGATTCAACGCCGCTCAGGGCGGCGTCTACGCCATGGATTGGACCAGTGAATACATCAAGATCTGGCACTTCGCACGCAGTGAAGTTCCAGCTGATATCACGGCCGGAACCCCAAATCCGTCGAAGTGGAGATTGCCAAATGCCAATTTTGCTTCTAATGATGGAGGTTGTGATCTTGATAGTAATTTTCCTCCTCAGACTATCGTAAGTCTACTTCTTGTGTCTATATCTTGACGTTGCTAAGCGATTGATCAGTACTTTGACACAACCTTCTGCGGGTCGATGGCAGGTGGAAAGGGCTGGACAGATTGGTCCGACTGCTCCAAGAAGACCGGCGTACCAACCTGCGACGAATTCGTTCGCAAGCACCCGGAAGCATTCCACAATGCATACTGGCTCGTCAACTCTGTCAAGATCTATCAATAGATAGTGCTTCACAACCGAGTTGCGACAATTCTGTACCACCAACAATCCCCCTAGCGGCTTTCTTTTGTCATATCGCGTCTGGTTCTGGAGTTTTTGACTTGCTGGTCTTGTTGGAAGCTCCTTTCTTCGATTCTTTTATGCATTAGCATACTTTTGAGCGCCGAGAGGGGGAATCTTGGACAAGGATTGAAGGGATATTCATAGATCTTTGGTTTTCTGCTTATCAGAGCAGATAGTGTCTAGGGGATTTTGGGGTATTGGTAGACAGCCTTCTATTATGAAGCCAAATTTCAATAGATGATTCGCGAATTTGATTCATTAAATGATGACATCGTGATCAGTGAATTCATGCACCTCCTTTTGAACTATTAGTTAGAAGTCTAAGCAGCCTATTTCCACTTGTGCGACATCACTCTAGTAGTTTCTCTTGAAGTATTTTACTGAGGGTTGAACCAAAGGATATATACCAAAGCAGCCAACCCTCGCTTAACACCTCATCCAAACCACCCACCCCAAATTAAAGATTCCAAAAAAGACCCTCATATCCCCCAAAGAACAACAAAACTCCAAGCCCCGCTTAACCCCTCAACCCCGTCATTTCAAGGAAAAGATTCAAGTCCTATAGAAACACCCAGAGCTAGGAGCAGGCATACTTCAAGAATAACATGCAGCATGCTTTGGCCCAACGCCAAGGTATCGCGTCTACACCAGTCCCCAACTACATTGGCTAATTAATACTGGGTCGGTGTGATATTCTTGGAGGTTGCTTACTAGGTTCAATCTCTCCGGTTAATAAAATTTGAGAGTGATGGATTGTGGGTCGTATGGCGGGGGGAGGGGGGATACAAAATAACTTTGTTCTTTGAAGAAAGAAGAAATATGCCTGGGTAATGGATGTCGTTTCTTCGAGATATGTTAGCAAGGGTAAACTACAATATCCTCTCAAAACACAGTTATAATCTCGAGCTTTTTGGTCCCGTCCTGCTAATAGCGTTGACTAGCAAATGTAAGCAAAGCGAAATACCACTTCAAATCACACCTCCACCTTCATACCTTACCCGATTAACACTTCAATCACCCCATCAAACCCGGAAATCCCGAACCCAACCGTACACCCTCAAACCCCCAACCGAGACCCTAGGCCTCTCCTAACCCGCTGTCACGCACGAGATTCCCTCGGGACCCGGAAGCGTAACGTGGGACGGGATCCCGAGGGTTTTCCTTGCAAAGGGTTCGTGTCACGTTTGTCGAGCGGATGGAGTGTGATGTGGCGCTTTGTGTGGATTGTGGGAGGGTACACTGCATTTGGATTCTTGTCATGGGACTTGGTTTGGTACCGGAGGGGTGGTTATGGAAAGGGACTTGGTGGGTTGGTGGAACTGGTTGTGTCTTGGAAGGGGAAAGTGTTGGGGTTGGGGTTATTGGTTTGTTTATTGGTTTTTGGTCAGGGAGTGGAAGATTGGTGAAGATGGGAGGGAGGGATGGAGGGATGGATACAGCGATATTCATAACGTGTGTTAAAAACGTGATTTTCAGGAACACCAAAAAAAAGTGCAAACGTAATATCGTAAAGTAGCCTTCTTATATTAAAGAACAACTATACTTCTAGGGCTTAAGCCCTATTGAGAAATTAATCCTTAATCAATTCTCAGTAGTTGTATCAACTTTTTATATACCCTATCAGGTAGGTTATATAGTAATTCAAGTAGGGGGAGAAAGTCGGTTTTTGTGTCGGTCGCACGCCAAGACCCTACCCCGCTATCCTGCCTCACGATCGTAAGAATCGACTTTTTGCCCTTTTTTAAATTATAATAAAGAAGCGCCCCTAGGATATATAAAAAGTTGATACAAGTATTAGAAGTATACTAAAGTATAATACTGTAGCAGGGCTAAAGCCCTAGAAGCGTGGTTGTTTCGTAATATAAGAAAGTTGTTTTCCTGAGTTCCTGATTTCGCACTTTTTTTGATGTTCTCGGCTGCCCGCATTTTTAACACAAGTTATGAATATCGCTGTAGCATTAAGGGTTGAAGTTGGTATTGGTGGGTTGGTATGATAGTGTTTATTTGCCTATAGCGCGCTAACTCACAAGTCGCACGATATCACAGAGTCAACAGCAAGAAAAGACTTTTTAAATTTTCCTCATTGTGTCAAGCTCTAGCTATGAGCCGCTCCAGATGTAGAAGAGAGAAACAATCAAGGTATCAGAAAAGAGAAGTAATCAATGAAGGCATATTCCTCCGCATTGAATAACCATATAGACTCGCAATTTGAAGAAGAAGTGTTCCCGGAACTAACCCATCATCGAACGCCAAACCACCCCCATGAAGTCCCCAAGTGTATGCCCTGCAAAAGAAAATGTGAATATGGCCGTCTTTATAAGTAGAGCAATTTTGGTACTTGGAAGTAAGAGCGGAGAAGGGTTTTTTGTGATAGAGCAACATGAATGAATTTAGTAATCGTCGTCACCATCGTCACCATCCAGTTCGGAGTAGTTGACTGAAACATCGTCATCTTCGTCCTCATCATAGTCAAAGTCAAAATCATCATCCCGATTGTTACCATGACTGCTTTCCGGAACTTCTTGTTCTTCTTCGACATTGGCCGCCGCTATTCCTTGTGGCACCGCCTCAGGGATAACGAATTCTCCACGCTTGGGTAGGTTGTGATAGATGTGGCCCTTGGGGTACTTGACGTGACCGAGTCTTCGTTGGGGAGCAACACCATCTGTAAATTGGTTAGCTACTTGTACAATGTTGGTATTGTGTTAGAAGCAGAGATAAAATAATAAATGGCATGGTTTGGCATAAGTTGAACCGATAGATTCCTTTGTCTGGAAACTCCTGAGAAAACGACCGCAACAGTTCCGTATAGTTAGATAAATTGACTGTTTGTTCCTAAAGACTAGGACAACGAAGCAAATCATCGGACTCATCTGGAACAATACAGATGGTTGCTCTAGATAAAGTGGAACAAATAAGAGAATTGTTTCAAGATTCTGGGACAATGAAGGCATTTTCCATACTTGGGCACCCAAGTATAACTTTTCAGACAATGCGGTGCTTGTATATAAGAGATATACTTTATCAGAACTTGACTTACCCTTCCATTTATAGGCACGTCTCTTGACAACCTCGCGAGGAGCACAAGTAGACTTTCGCTTCCGACCTCTATTAGCAGGCGTAAAGGTAGTGGGAGCTCCATGTTGGGGGTTTTTTGTCTCGCGAGATTGTGGGAAAAATCGAGGGCTTCCAGTTGCCAGATCCAGAATTGAGTAAGGGCGAACAGGGCGATAATCAAAGTTGTACATATCGTCATCGCTGTACGTCGCGAAAGGGTCAGATTCAGCCTCTCCGGCGGGTGTAGAGGGTGCTGCAGCTTCAGAGTGATCTCGATAGGCTTCTTCATTCATTCGATTCAATTCAGCTTGGTGGATGTGCTTGGAAAGTCTTGGGCCGGTCGGTACATCGATTGTGGAGATATGATGAGGTTCGTCGTCAGGTATGGCTATTTCGGGTTCCTTTTGGAAAACGAGTTGAGGGATGCGCTGGCGATTGCTTCTTGGTACTCGAGGTTGGTAGTCATGGCGATGTGGAAGAGTAGTATTCTCGTAATAGGGGTCTCTTGTCTGCTGATTAATCTGAGTCTTGCATTGCTTGATGTAAACCTCTGTGGTGTTGAACACCAAAGGAATACCAATAAACTCATGTTCAGGCTCAGGCTCAGTTCTCTCCCTTTGTCTGGCGCGACTGTATCGTTCAATTCCAGCACGAACAACATCCAGCGATTGCCATTGCTCAAAAGCATCCTCTCCAATGTCTCCCTCACCAGGATTCAGATTTCCCCATGTGGTTCCCTTCAGCGAAACTGACAGGTTCCAGTTGTTAGAATCAGTTTCTTCGGGACTAATCCATTCGTCAAAGAACGATCGCTTATTTTTAATGGCTTTGTTGTGAAATCCTGGCTATTTTTCTTTTTAGTTTTGTCTCATTGGGGGTGAAAATGTGTTTTAAAAACATACTTTGGGCTGCTCGTGTACAAGTTCTTCTGCAAGGTCTTCAATCCCACCTCGACTTTTCAGGCTTGGAAGCTCAATAGGAATCCGACGTGTAGGTAAGAGTTCGCGGTCTTCGTCAAAGATTCGTCCATGGTGCCATGGTACGTAGCGATTGCTGGGACGTACAACTGCAACATTTGATTCTGATGCTGAATCAGATGGCGAACCAGAGGAGCTTGATTCCGATGGTGAAGGCGATGGAGAGGGCGAGGGCGATGGCGATTGAGACGGAGACGGAGATAGTGTAGGGGTTGGGGATTGAGATTGAGATGGAGATGGAGATGGAGATGGAGGTTCCGAGGCTCCAGAGGTGGATGCCATCTTCCCTCTGGGGTTGTGTTGATTAGTTTGTTGTTGTGTGGTTGAAGGTGGACAATCGAACAATTGAAGATAGCTTGTGAAATAAAGCTCAGACTTGGCTAATAAGGCAAGAACAACCCTGGATTAGTGGATCAGGTGGCTAAATTAATGCCCAATAGGAAAATACCTTCAAGTTAAACCTGCATGTATCCACCAAGGGTGAATGTTATCGTAAAGTGGTGCTCAGCTTTAACTTGTCCCACTCTGCTAAGTGATCCGATTTCTTTAATTGCTTAGAATTTATGCTTATAACTTTGGTTGTATTGATCGTTTCTGGAAAGGCTCAGGTCTAATTTTATTTCTTGAAGCTGAAAGAAGAACCGATTTGCATCTATGCTTGATTCTCCAGCTTGACTCAAAAACCCTGCCATCCATGCCAACAACAGACGCTCTTGCCATTTTCGAATTTTTCTGAGTACTTTATATCATGACAGTAAAGGTGAGGCTGTTTCAAGAATAGGATAATATCAACATTCTAAGGCTCGCAAACATCTAAAACTTTTCAAGTTCGCAAGTGTTCCTTGCAATCACTTCTCAATATCTCCAAAACTAGACCACAAATAAAGTCACAATCATATGTTAACTAGGAATCACTGTATCTGTATCAACCTAAATTCCCGAAATCCTTGTTACCTGAAACCTGTATAAAGTTCCGTAAAATAATACAAAGAGCTACATCCATCCGCATGCTACTCAACGCAAGAGAGAAAGAGAACCTGCTAACAAGCCATGTTAAAGCTTTTGGTACTATTAATCAAATGCTAACATTTAATATGTTGTAGTGTGAGTTATTAAGTAGATACTACACTGTTCTACTATGTTGCTAGGAATATGGAAGGCCAGGTGCCAGAAGAGTTGTACTCAGATGACTAGACCTACCGCCCTACTCGTCCCATATCCCGCAGCAACACTCCAATCCAACAAGTTTATTTCCTACACATTTACTTTACGGCATTCACATACTTCTAATTAACAAAGACCTGTATCCAGAGTTCTCATAGCACATCGCTAAGACAACCCTTCTCTTCTAATGATAGTAAAAAGAAGCTCGCCATCATTGATAAAGAATGAGTAGGTACAAGTGGAATTGTGACAGCTGAGTGATTTCTAGGAATATGGTTTAGGTTTCGTAGCGTGGGCGCTTAATAGCGGATATGTATGGGCCCCGGTCACGGAGAGAACAGATAGATCAATCCACATACGGGAAGAAAGAAAGAAAGAAAGCAAGATAGAAAAATGATTGGCAATGTAAGGTACGTATGTCAAGCACTTCGGATAGATTCGTAGAGTACTGTCAAGCATCGTATATTAGTACCGAGTGCTCTCGTGTCTAAAACCACATATATGTAAAGGTCGATAGCAAAATCCATCATCTATATGAAGTACTCCTTGGAAGTATTTTCAGCAATAGAAACTGCTCCGGTAATTTTGACAACCAAGATACGATGCCTGACCGTGTACCATGGTTCCGCTTCGAAAGAAAATCTAGCCAGATGAAAACGCCAGCCAATGCAAATGAACTCCGAAAGAAACAAACAGAATCAAGCAAAACAGAATGTTGTTACATTAATGAGCATTCGCAACGGCGAAACTGAGCAGAGATCCCGCGGTCAATCCACCTACTAGATTGAGAACCATAAATGATCCCGCAGCTTCTCGCTCCTCTTCTTCAACCCACTTCCCTGCGTCCATCATACAAAGACTTCCAAGCCAGCCGTTTGTAGCTCCGAAAAACAATTGGACGATACCAAGGTAGAATACATCGCTTTTGATGATTGCACCCTTGCCATCGATATTGCACAAGTAATAGAGTGGTAGAAATCCAATCCGGAGGACGGAATAGAAAAAGAGTAGTCGTGGCCTAGTGGTGACAAAATAGGGTATTCCCGTGCTAAGTCGACCGGCAAGATCTCCAACATTCCATACCAGAAATCCAAGGGGAATGAAAACTGGTGGTGTGAGACCGCGAGGTGCTTTGGCTTCAGGCACAACGGATAGGACCTTCGATGTGAAGACTGGGAAGAACATTGTGACTGCAAAACACATGAACACCGATGCTGCAAGCCAGAAGAGCTTTCTGTAAAGCTCTCTCATGCCTACGGATCTGCGAGATTCCTCGAGGGTATCAATCGACGACAGCATGTTCAAAGCTGTAATTCTTTTATGTTTCCGCACAAGAGGCATAGTAACAAATAGCGTAATGACACTGACAGCGGCCGCAGTAAGAAAATATATGAACGCGGAATTCTTGGTCGTTCGTGCTTCTGCTAATACTTGCAACTCAGCACTCGATCTGTCTCCTTTTGGCATGGCCCAAACAGAGGCAATCTGCGCAATCACGGGAAGAACACCAGCTATTGCCTGGCCAGTCATGATACCCTGTATGTATTCCGGTCTTCCAAAACTCGACGCAAAAGCAAATGCTCCATTTTGACAGAGCCCCGTTGCCACGGAAGTTGAGAAAACCATGAACAATGTAAAAGACAAGTACGAAACAGACGACATATCGGTAAAGACGGTGGAAATGCTGAGGAGAGTAAAGACCGCCAGGTTTGTAAGTAGCGCCACGATGATGCGTCTTGGGTAGTCGGCCTTCAGTTGTAAACGGGAGAGAATCAGGGTGGAGAGGAGATTGGTAACGCAGCCGACCGAAACGATGGCAGATTGGAAAGAATCGAGGATCTGTTTGTTATCTCGAAATCGGGATTGAAAGTAAGGAGCTGCTGCTAAGAACATGTTCCTGTGGTAGTGTTAGCTGAGGATGTACCCGTACAGAGGATGGTACAACGTACCATGCCCAAAGCTGCGAGATTCCAAGCATTATGAAGATGAAATACTCCGTTCGCGAGTAAGGCTCTGCAGTCTTGCCCTCATCGGGAAGAATGAAGACTGGTCGTCGAACCTCTTCATCCTCCTCCAGAGGCTCATACTCTTGCTCGGCATCTGGACTGTGGAAGATGGTGCGTACGCGGTCCATCGTTGGTTGTACTGTGACGGCCGCAGCGTACGGCGTAGGTTATGGAGGATTCAAGCGTGTTGCACTTCCAACATTTGGCGGCCAGAAATGCGAGATTGGATGAGGATATACCTCCAGTTGAGACGTGAAGTTGTCTAGAAATCTACGAGGGGTCCAAGATCCAAAATTGAGGTACGAGTACAATATCGATAGCTACCACCTGATGTTGCGGCACGTCACTTGACGGGAACCGATCGTCCGACGGGTCCACCTGCCAGAGTGGGTCCAACCTCTTCGGTACAGATACCTAGGTACCTGTAGGATTCCCTAAAGCCACGTGTCTCATGCTAAATACACACCTCTCAGTCCTAACTGGGACCGGCCGCGGGTTCGAACCTCTTCTCTCTCTGTATTCTCTCTATAAAATAGCGGATGATTTCTGAACACGATATCAATGTCTTGGGTATTGTACTCGTACTGCATCGTGAAACTTCTAAGCTCATGTATGGTGTTTGACACTGCCTGGGTAGACAAGTCTGGTGATCTTGACTCCTGAGTTGTCGGGGTCGTGGCGCGAGCTCAGCATCGTGGCAGTTCTCGCCCTATGAGGTCTTGACCGTGAAGCAACACTTCCATCCCTCTGAATATTTGATGTTGGACAATACTCTACTCATTTGCTTATCTGGTTGACTCAGGGATTTAGCTCAAGGCTGACCGACAATTCTGTGCCTTTTGCAGGTATCCCGTGGATCATCTGCGTTTTCCATGATTACCTTGGGATTACTCGTACCTCCTGAATCTTACAAGTGCAACGATATGTGCAATTCCAGTATCTCCCACTACAATGAATAGCCACAGCCCGACAGCCAGCAAAATTCTCATGCTTGACCTGCAATAAGCGATGGAACGTGTCCTCTCAGATGTCTTCTCGACTCTTCGGAAGTTTCGATGAGTACAACATGGCCATGCAGAAGGGCTGAAGTTTTCTGAAATTACCTTTCATCCCGTGAACCAGGACTTGACGGGTGGCTTACATGCATCCCCTTCCCCGCCTATCAAGAACGGGGATTTACGAGTTCCTATGCCTGCTTATGAGGCTGGCTCGAGGCTGAAAATAACGAATCTCCGCTTACTGCATCGCCCCCAAATCCATGAGTGATCTAGATGTGTTACAAGTTCCCGCATTTGCCTTTTTTATCTTCTCTGCATCTGCCTGTTTCTTTTCTGCATTTTTGTATATACTTTTACGCGCAAGTTGTTGAAAATCCGCAATCATGGATTCAAATACCACCCAGAAGCAAGTTATCACTGCAGCAGCTTCTTCTGCCGCAAGCCAAACCCCAAAACAGTCTTCAGAACCCACACGCAGTGGTGAAAATCAAAGTTGGTGGAAATGGGGCAGGGAAACTACGAAGGATAATATCAATAAACACCTTGCTCATGAGTTCAATGGCAAACTCGGCTTTGATCACGGACACTGGTTCCATCGACCAGAACAGCACGATAGTAGCGCGACTTTTGATAAGGCCGGCGAGTTGGAGAGTGACGAAAAGGGTCGCTATGTTTATAGAAGTGAGTGCCCAGTCTTTTTCATGGAATCTTTATAAGTAGATACTAGATCTACGACGTTCTCAAACTCTACTGCCTCTACAATGCCTTACTTATACCACACCTCACATATCTCTAAGATGTACTAATGTCCATTTTCTATAGATTATCTTGGCCAGAAGTACCATAAACATGCAGATGTGGCTACGTGACTCTCCCCAACGAACTACGTGCCAAAACGGCTTGTGGTTCAGACTTCCCCATACGTGCGACAGAAGAAGTTGGCGGTTGGGGATCCGAGATGTCGAAAGATGACAGGATCCGTGCCGAAAGTCTTGAAGCTTGCAGAATGGACTTTAAGACCATCAAACCGGGATGAAAATGGAAGAGCTTCTGTTCTTGGACGCGTGCAAACTGTCTTTCGCATTCTTGTCATGGGTTTACCTCTTCAGCTCATGCTCGCCTTACCATTAACATCTTCTTGGGATGATGGCGATATCGACGGCCAATACACAGAGTTCCCAGGAAACTACTGGAAATGGCCCAAGCATGCCATCAATCCCCTTGATATGAAGCCAGCTCCATTTCCGACCGAAGTGAAGAAGAAAGGTCCTACATCAAGAACACGATTATTACGTCCTCGTCAATTGATTATTCTTAAGGATGGAGAGTGGGTGCTCGACCCAAATCCGGAAATGGGCATCTCATACCTTTTCATTAGCTATGCGAACATGCATTTCCACACAGACGATTCGGAGGCTGGACGAAAAATGATTTCGGACATGGCAGAGTATTCCATCCTCAAAGCAGGAAAGACAGCATACTGGCTGGATTATCGATGCAGAGCTCCAAAGCCAGGACCCGAACTCGATCGACACGTGTACAGAATGTGCGACGTGATAAGGGGAGCACACCAAGTTGTTGTCATGCTCAAAGGAGATGAACTCAAACTGAAACAAGAATGGGGCTCCAGAATGTGGACCTTACCCGAAGGACTTCTTGCAGCAGGAAACAACATTTATTTCTGCACGCCCGAGTCGAACTCTTTCAAGATTGTCTCCATGATTAAAATAGAGATGAGCGGATCAGTCTGGGAAGATCCAGAAGTTGATGACGAAGATGGACCAACCCGACTTCTTGCGGAGCATTTCACCGGTATCCTCACTCTATCCCGTCTCGAAATCCTCTCAAATGCCATCGCAGCAACAGGAAACCGATACGACGAAACTAAAGTCTGGCTACGAGGAGATATGGCCTACGCCCTAATGGGACTTCTCCACTATCGCATCGAAAAAGATGCCGACGACACGACCTTCCAAGCTATTGCCCGTCTCTCACTCGCTAACGACAATGATCGCCTGATAGAGCGTATGGTCTGTCTATATCCCAACCAACATACTCCTCAGAAATCTGCGTTCATGAAATTTGCTCAGCCAGATCTTTACAGCACCCACCTATAGGATATCGAACCACTTTGCCAGGTTGTTGGAGTAGGAAACGAAGATAACACAGTCATCTTAGATAATACGCGAGCAATGCACATTCGATGGAAAAACTTCCCTCGCATGTCAGTCATCCGCCATTATGGCATGAAGAAACTTCTTGCTGAGCCATTCGTAAGAAGTGGCGCATGGGTAAGTGTTCTTCAATTTCATACAGATTTAGTAGCTCGAGCTCTAGTAATTTTTAACCCTCAATTGTTGTTCTAAAAGTTCCGAACAATTATCTGGGCGGATACAATCATGGGGTAGCACGGTATTCCTCGTTTGTCTTGAACACGGTATTACTTGAGGATAGCCAGAGTACGTACAGTGTATCTAGCATCCAACACACACAAACTTCTTTCAATTCTCAGAAACAGCAATACTAACACCAAGCTTTTCCACAGCCCTTCATCTTCGCCATCCAACTCGCCATAACCTACGCCCCCTTCTTCCTCCAAACCGAAGAACTCGGCAAAGAAAAAGTAATCTTCAGTCTCTCCATGCTCGTAGCCGGCTTCTTCGCCGCAGGCATCCTCCTCTCCTTCGTAGGCCCCTACTCCGTCCGCAGCCTCTACGGCGGCCAAGTCCAAAAAAGCACCCCGAACCTCGTCGACTTCGAAGGCGTGCTTCCACTCCGCGAACTCGAGCCCTTGGTATTTGGCAACAACTCGGGACGCTTATCATACGCACCATCCTCCACACCCTTCGCGCTCGACTTCCGCAACGAAAAGGAGAGGATTGGAAATGAGCCTACGTGGATAGCATCCAATAATCCTGAGGATGTTGAGGAGATGGAGAAACGTTTGCCGAAGGGGCATCAGCTTTTTACGCTGGTGGATACGGGGAGCTTGACGGTTTCGGTTTTTCATGCGGAGAGGCCGCCGACTGTGGCGTTGATTTGTGGACGGGAAGGGGGGATTTTGAGGGTGGTGCTTTGTAGTTGGCGGTTTGCGAATGATTGTCTGGTTAAAGAGGCGGTGATGAGAATGCCGAGTGAGGTTTACGAGGCTGCGGTTTCGAAGGGGTGGTTGAAGATTTCTTTAGGGGATGCGAGGAAGAAACCTGTCGTATAATCTGTACAGTACACGATATGTATCATGAAGTATCTGTAGTAATGGCAATGTTTCATCATAAACTTCGTTTTCATTCTTTTGTTCAGAGCTTTTAGACGAAACTATCAATCCCTGAAAACAAACTGAGATTCATGTTTCTTTTCTCGGTCACTATGCCTGACCATCATGAGTACATCAAAACCATACGCCGGATATCTTGCCATCGCTATGCAATCATACAAAAAGCCCCAACAAAAAGGCCCCAGAAGAACGCGTCTCAACCTCCATAGAGCCAGGCACATTCCAACGAGAATCACCACCAATCCATGGAACTCTGAATTCCCTTCACCCGAGGATCCCACTCGCCTCAAAATCTTCATAGTGGATATATCCAAGTTCCATACACCGCTCCAAAACCTGCGCCGCACTCGTAAAAGCCCCATTATCAATCTTCGTACGCGTCGACATTCCCCGTTCAATCTCCCTGATTTCGGTTTGGAAGGTAGCATTAGCTTCACGTGTGTACGTTGGACTCTGAGTGAATTGCTTTTTCAGGTAGCCGAGGAGATATTGCAGCCAGATGACGTTGGTATAGGGAACGTGCTCGTCCCAGGTATGTCCATTATCCAGGGATCGGGATTCTTCGTCGTGCCAGGCTTTCTTCTCGCTCATGTGGCGGCCTGTGAAGAGATGGTTTCGCATCCTAGAGAAGGTGGTTAGTTGTGTAGATAAGGGGTTGAAGCGGGAATACTGACTTTCTGTATGCGTTGAATTGGGGATGCCCATCGCTACCTCGGAAGATACCGAGGTCGTTTTCGAGGGGATAGCACATAGTCTCGCCATTTGGCAGTGTTGCTCTGGACAGTCCATAGTCGATGAGAGTAATTTCGAGACCAGAGTTCTTCCACTTCAAAGACGAGTCTTTTTCTGGTATAGCGGCATCTCGAACCTTGACAACGCAAATGTTGTTCTCGTGGAGATCTCGATGCTGTTTCCGGTCAGTAAATGCTGAAAGTGTGTTGCAAATGTAAACTCACTTCAAATCCTCTGTCTATTTCCCCCATTGCCAAAGCCATAACCGATCCTAGGAATATATCCCAAACCTCCTCGACAGATTCGATTCTATAGTCATCCAAAGTGATCCCCGCGTCTCCCAACTCAACCACAAGAAAAACCGTGTCTTCCGTGTATTCCCTCGGGTCGGTGAAATAAGATTCTTCTTCCTCACAAGTTCGCACATATTCATCCCACGCATTAACAAGAAACGGCTCTGCAGCGCCCTTGACCAAAAACGCATCTTTAAAGCTAACATAGCCCGGAATCTCAGTAAGAGCATTCATAATCCTAATTTCGGAAACCACGTCTTCAACCCGACTAGCAGTGTCGCATTCGAGGGATTCTGGGTCGCGTGGAGATTTCAGTCGCATGACCTTGAGTATAGATGAACGACGTAGGCCATCAACACAAGATGCTTCTTCCTCGATAAGCCGATACACTTCAGCATATGATGCTTCTGCTATCTTCGTGATCTCGTATTTGTGTGTTTTTGTCCACTTTGGAAGGATTTCTGCCCAGTCGAGCACCAGCATTTCTGATGCGCGGTCTGTGGCGTAGGCTGATAGTAGTGGCTCAAAGTGTTCTCGGTGTGGGAAACCCAGGGGCTTGGACTGAGGATCATGTTTTGGCACTACTACGCTTATAAGTAATGGGCACCACAGAAGTGGAATTAATCTTTAGTTTATGACTTACATTTCTTCTTCTTAGCTTTGACATCCGGTACAGCATCTCTAGGTGGAGATTCTAGTTCATCTATCTCCTCAGAATCATCGTGCAAATTCAGATTCTCAATTGCATCAATAACATCATCTTCAACTTCTTTCGACACTGATTTTTCCGCTTCGGTGCTCTTCTTGGCATCCTCATTTAAAGTGGTGGATTCAGCGGCATTGGTGATGTCAGAGAGGACTTGACGGCCCGAAATAAGGGGATCCTTTCTTGCATCACTTGTGCCAAAGATTGCGCTTGCTGCAGTACTTCTGGTTGCCTTTTTGACACCGTACGTTCTTCTCATTTTGACCACCATTGCGAGTCTGTTGATTTCTGTCAGCTGGAACTTGATATCAGAGTGATAGCATGAGTGAATACGTTGTAGAAATGCGTATTTTGTGAACGACCAATCCAAATAATGGTACAAGATTATGTTAGAACAATCAAAAGCACCATTTGAGAAGGCTTAGAACAATCGGAAATGACTACTTCCTTAGTTGTTCCAATGTACTTCTACCTGTAGGTTGGGTACAATTGCTCGTGGATATTTGCAACAATGAATAGGATGTAGAGTCAGAAAAAGCAAATCTCTCTTGAAATACGAAAAGAGAGGTACAGGTCTAGAAATAACAACAGCTAGAACTTGTGGCTCACACATGTCTTCCAAGTTGGCGGGATGAGCCACATCAGTCACGTGTGCTCAGTATCCTTGCAGCCTCAGGCAAAATCAACAAACAAAAAAAGCACCACACAAACAACTCTTTAACACGATACAAAACAATGTTTTAACATAGGAGATGAGACTTACAGTCTGATTCTATCAAGATGGACTTCGTACAAAAGTGGCGCGCCACCAAAAGGGAGAGTTTGCGTCGCAATGCTTCGCGTTTGGGGGTGGTGTTGCAGCTTGTTACCGCGGCGTGGTGCTGGTGCTGAAGGGGAGGGCGGTCAGACTTGGTCTTTTCCCAGAAGCTTCCCCACAACATCTTGAAGACCGAAGTTCTCCCTAGAAGATTGTGGTGTTATGAGTGGTTCAGTTAGGTCGTTACGACAACACAGGGGTACTTTCTGGTGTTGACTCCAGTTGATTTCTTGGCGTACGGTACAGGGGTTAAGCTGTTTTGAGTTTAGTGTGCTGCGGAATTACTTTTTGCCGTCTGTCATGTGACTACATCTAAATCTTTTTGAAGGGCGAGTGTATATTAATTAATTTAGTTTAATTTCGTAGTTTTTCTTAAGTTACACGAATTAGGTTTTCTTATACTAATTCTTTCTTGTTTATAATTAGTCTAAATTTCTTAATACTCTTTTATTATTCAAAATCTCTATCTAAATTTAATTAGATACTAAGTAATAATTTCTTATTAATTCTATATTTAATTAAATATATCTAATCTCTACTAAAAACTCTACTTAATTTATATCTTCTCGAGTACTAGAAAAGAGAACTATTACGTTATATATTAGTACTAATATATATTTACCTATAAAGTAGTAGAATTAGGTAGATATTTAAAAAAAAATACACGCCCCTATAAATGGAAACAATAAAGACTAAAAGAGCGAATAAACCGAGCGATTGAATTTCATAGTAATTGAATACTCGTGTGCTCTGTTCTCTTAATTAGTAATTCTTCTAAGCTAAAAAGCGGCTAGTGGCATTTACTACCTAGATCTGATTTACTAGTTACTTCTTTCTAAAGATTCTCTTTAGCGATGAAATTTAAACTTGGATCTGAACGAATTCTAGGTCGGAATTATTATATGTTATAAGGAGGGCGTACGACAGGGCCAGGAATGGCCACCGGGCCGATATATCGCGGACTTCGAAGGTTTTCAAAATCAACGGCATTGTATATCGTTCTTTACACGCTACCATTATGATTTCTTATATTAATTATTATAACAAAGTAGATTTAACTCTGGCGAAGCAGTGGCAATTCTTACTACGAGCTATAATCTACATATCAGGCCGCTAAGGGACCAAGGGAAAGATGCGATCCGAATAAACAGATATACTGTTCTGATAGTTATTACTCTCTTAGTTAAAATTGTCAATTAAAATAAAAATTGACATTATCTTTCTATGCATACTTCAAGAATCAAAAGAATCATTTAGTAATCTTTACATTCTTTGGCTGAACTCTAAGGAATTTACTATAACTATTTTTGTGATTATATTTCTCTTTAAACCCTCGATTTTTGACCAAGAATCTGTCCTATAGACAGAACAGATTTGCAGTATTAATAGGAAGCGTTGAATTCAAAGATTATCGCGGCACTTTTGGTTACGTGATTGAACCAGTTCATCTCAACAACACTAACCCCATCAATCTTCTGAAGAAGCCTAGAATCCGCGAAGGATCGACCAATCCCATTTGCAGCCGGTCGGTTTCAACTTAGATACGAGCCGTAATTGAAGCAGAAATACCCGCATCAATAACTACCTCAGTTCCACTGATATAAGTCGAAGAAGGACTGCATAAAAATACGGCCACATTGGCAACTTCTCCTGGCCATGCAACTCTAGGCATGCGTGTCTTTTTCTTGACCACAGATTCTGATCTTGGTAACTTTTTCATGGTCAAATCCATCATCGGAGTAGCCACAGGTGCTGGACAAACAGCATTGACTCTGATACCATGCTGCTTCAAATACGAAGCTACTTCGGCATCAGCTCCTCGCCATCGCAACTTTGGAAGAGGAGAGATTCACCTGCTACCTTAGGAATACCCAACAATGCATGCTTGGATGCCACATAAGCCATCATACCCTTCGAGGCAGTAATAGAGCTCAAAGATCCAAGATTGATAATGCAACCTCGACCTAGACTCCGTTCTTGTCCATGTCTACCTTTGAACATTCGAGGTTCTTGCTGCATCATTACTTTACTAACAGCTCGAACGCAGAGCATCACTCCTCGAGTATTGATTTTGAGGACTTTGTCGAAGTTCTCAATATCAATGTCTGTGGCTGGCACAAGCGATGAAGACATGATCTATCTCCCAAAGCATCAGTTGCAACCCTTTTGATTCTTCTTCCAAAAAGATGTAGCACGTTACTTACCCCTGCGCTATTGATGCAATAATCAATTCTTCCAAATTCTTTGAGTGCGGAATCCACCATCTCCTGAACACTACTAGGTTCAGATGTATCCACTTTGATCGCTACTGAGCGATAGTTGGGGTTTGTGGCATAGAATTTGCTGTTGGTCGCTTTCCAAAGGGCAGCGTGATAATTGATATCTGCGAACACCACCCCTAACGCCCCTGCTCCAGCGAAGGCATAGCCTGTTTCTTCTCCAATTCCGGAACCGGCCTGTTTATACCCTCAGTTGATACGTCTTGGGACTTGCGTGTTGAAGGCACACTACAGGGACATGACTTACACAAGTGATAAGAGCAATTCCATCGACTTGCGAGAACGGCATATTCGGACTTTGTAACTTAAGTGATCTTTGTGCGAAGTTTGCTACTCTTTTCCTTCGTCGTTCAGTGAGAACCTCGGCTTTTGCTTGGCGTAAGACTGTAACCAACCAACTTCATGTGAAAGTTGGTATTCAATGTAGCCAATAACAACCCTTGTATTATTGGCGAATACACGGCCCGAGATCCTCATCAAATATCGAAATAATTCATACCCATATGGTTATTTTCTCCTCGAATACAACGAAGACACGATAACTGAACTATTGCCCACACTAATCTGATGTTGGGCTTGGGAGAGGGCGTGGAACAGGGCAATAAATTAGCGGCTGGAACATTTGTAACCAGTTCGTGGTGGCTCAGAAATACCTTAAAGCAGTGAAGTGAAAGAGGTTGTATAATTTGAGTACACCGTGATTGTCACAGTGCCACAATTTACAGAGACGCCAGTTTTTGAGCCAATTAAGAGTCACCAACTTCAGAGAATTTGGTTTCCAAGTGTGGTAGTTGGCGGAGTTGAATCAACTCTCTCGACTTGTAGTCTAAAGGGCAGATACTCATACTCTCAACCTAGATGTAAGAGCCTTCGCCTTTTGTATCCTATACATACTGTACAAATGACCACTATGAGACGGCACCAGATGATCCACATCTCTCGTGATTCGATGGCTCTTAAGTGCAGTTACGCGAAATCCTACTTCCATTCCTCGCGTTAACCAGAAAATCTATTCCTGAGTCACATCATAAAATAGAGGCTTCTTGTGAATCACTCAGCTGCTTGTAAAGTAGTAACATTTTAGCATATCATGTTTGTCTTGACTACCAGAATGCGAAATTTCTGGCAACGGAACGTTCTTAATCGACTCGATCGCCAGTATAGCCTGTGTAGGTGTCGGTATAAGCAATATATAAGCTGGTAAACGTGGTAAAAGGTAAGATAATCTTCAAGGTGTAGTTATTACTAGAATGGAAGTGCCTAAGAACATAGGTACTCAGATGAGGTGGGGTAGTCCTCCACGTAATCATCTCCGTTGACAAAATGTACCTAGGTAGAGCGTATCTCAAAAATAGATATTTCAGAAAAATACAGTTGTGAATGAGACTATTCTTAATACGTCAGATCCTGAGTAAGCTCCAATAAGAAATATGTCTATAGAGATGATAGCGCCACCATTGGACAGATACCGTGTTTAGCCCAACAGAACTTAGGCACCACCATTCTAATCTTCGCCTTGAATTTGACATTTGGAAAGTTCTCAACGCAAGACTCTTATACCTTGAAGCCAGTATATGCATCACAACCCTCTGATACTCGCCTTCTCTCCTTCTTGCTTCAGAGAAACATTCTGAAACTTTGATCGGGTGGATTTAGTAAGCCGAGATACGGTGGTTTTTCTTATATGTCCTTGTCTAACGCTTAAAGTTGGACACGTTCTTCAACTTTATTGCTGATTGTACTCAATCTGAGGCAATGCCATGATTACTGTATACGAGTGAGTTCGTCGCAAGGGACTTGATTGGCACTTCACTATGAGCTATGATTTCAGTATCCAGTGATTCCTTCATAGCGAGGTGATAATACTATCGTCCAAGGATAAGTTTCATGGTACTTTAACCACTTGAACATTCACAACATTCTCTTGAAGGATTCCTTGAGTTATGTCGATTGAGAACTTGCAGGCTTTTCCTTTCTTTACATATCAAACTGTTCTAATCAAAGCAAACGTTCCAACACACACCCGTACTGCAACTACGACATCAACAAAAGCGGTTTCATTCAAGAATCTGACGAGATGTATCGATACACCTTGATAGTGCTTCAAACTATTTACATCCTCCTCCACTTCACGACAATAGTCAACGGATCACCAAATTTATCATACCAACGGCGGGGAAAACCAAATGTATACCGTCCAACCGACTGCGATGGTATACTAGCACATAATTGTAGAATGGTATACCACGCCTGGAACCAAGGAAAGTCAATGAACCTTTGGGTTTGGGACTACGGCTGCCATCAGATCGATGTACACCAAGAACGTGCACCAGCTCCCAAGACAAAAGTTACGATCCTTTTGAACCAGCCCTACGATCCAGTTGTTGTGGAAATACAGAGCAAATACTTCTTGCCCCCGAAAGTAAAGTACGGAAACAATACTGAAAAGTTTCTTTGAATGCGTCTTTTTGGCTTGTTGGAGGTTGCAACTTGTGATAACAAAGGCAAGAATCAGCGGTGTATCAAGGATTTCAAATGTTGAAATCTGAAGATGGCGGATGTTATGTTAGATAATACGTCATGGCAGTTTAGAACATAGAAGATCCTCTAGTAAATTTCAAGTTATTATTAACCATCATTTGCCTCGCTGTGCCCCTGCAACATTATTCTCGAACTAGCTACAAGAAGTATTGCAGTGTTCCACTTTCAACTTGATAATCCTTCGCAGCCGTTGTAAAATATTGAAAAGAAGAAAAGAAAAAGTACCAACGACCCGCAATTAGACAAGGCAGCAACTAACTCTATATTGACATTTTGAAGCAGGTACAAAAATACCCGAGACCGTATGCCGCACTTTCTCTCCCCCAGCATATATTTGAATGATGTTGTCAGGTTGGAAAACAAGTATTCATCACACTGTATCGAAATTGGGTCTGATCTTGAAGTACTGCACTCCAGAGGAATTCCAATTTGAAACAAGTGCGACAATGCTCAACCTTCATCAAAACGTTGTTGTTGTATTTTCCTTGCTTCAAACCTGATGTCGGATGGTAGTAGGTTATTGACCTTGGAGCAATTCGTGTTTCAAAAGCTCGCTGCGTGAACAAACCAGCTTTGAAAGCCTGTACAATAGATATCTCCTGAAAATCCTATCGACAGAACAACCAGATGTGGTATTTCTGATAAGGCACCTTTTTCACTTTACCTGCGTTAAAAATAAATGTGGAACTGGGTATGGCGCAAAATTATCCCTTACTCTGTAACTCGTATAATACCGGTTAGTAGAACGCACAATTGGATTTGGCCAGTTGTATCCTACCAGTTTGATTGGCGGGAGTACTAATGTTAAACCCAATTTGGCGTTCTGCCAACCGGTAGTGTGCGAGTTACGGAGTAAGGGATATGACATTTATCAAATACGTTGGCGAGGGACCCACCATTGTGCTGACGGATAGGGGCACAGCAAAACAGGAGACAATCAACGACTTCTACCGAATATGCATAGCCTCCGGTGGTGGTTGAAGGTGTGTTGGTTGGCCAATTACACGCCACGGGGTGCGTCGACCTTCATGCCAATAGTGCCTTTCATAAAGTGGGTGAATCCGCATTTCATTTCCGAAACAAGGTCATCAATTTCCATCCTTCACCACCACTTTCCTTTCATAGCCACTCAAAAAATGGTTATTAGAATCTGTGCTGGTTCATCAATTATGTGCGCTACTTGGTGAGTATACCTTTACACAAAGTATATACTGCCCTTTATAAAACGGGTTAATCCTTAATTCATTTCTAGTTATCGATTTCTAAGCTTTATCTCTGCTTTCCTTTAATTACTTTACTATCGTTCTTCTTCCAAGGGTTCATTACCAGCAGTATGATTACATACGTGCTGCCTTCTTTGGTCGTTCTGTTGGGGTTTTCTCGATAAGTCATCGCGGATATCAAAATTACTAGTCTATGGATTCTTGATACAAAAGTCTACACTGGCAAGCCCTTTACCCTCGATTGGACTGGTGCTCAGGGATTGGTCGCAATAAGACTCGTTCTTCTTAATGGCAGTGGTGAAGAAAAATCAATCACCAGTGAGTTCATCACATCCCCAAGAAATATTTTAGTTTCATGTTGACAACTGCATAGGCGGTCTTCATGGAACCACATATACCTGGAACCCACCTGCGAGTCTGAATGGACAATCAGGGAGTCTCGAAATTAGCGATGGTCTTACGAAGGATGTATCTCCACAGGTATTCTTTAGACCTGGTTCGGAGCAAGGACAGGTGAGACCTACTTTACATTCTCTTGTGTGAGAAATATATTCTAATATAGGTTCATATTCCATAGAATGTTATTATATCATCTTCGATTACACAATCGCCATTTGAAACCAATCACCCAATATCGTTCATCTTTAGCAGTAGTTCACGAAATTTCGAAGCATTCTCAACAAGCACCCCAGTTCCCACCGCTTCTGGGGTGTCCACTTCCGTTTCCCCATCACCCCACACACGATCATTAGATGAATCAGACAATGATTTTGCTCCCGGATTCAACACAGGGGCAAAAGTATGGATTGCAATCGCAATTACAGCTGTAATTTGTTTGATCGGGGGAGCCATTACCTTCGCATTTTGGTATAGAAAACGGAGCCGAAAAGTCAAGTATGGAAGCAATGCAAAGTCAATGAGTTCTGCCAAGGGGTTTGATATTAATACATCTGTTGAATGGAAGGCTGAGTTGGAGGCAGTCTCCAATGTCAGACATGTTTCACCTGTAGAGTTGGATACGGAACCTCTAAAGTTGAAGCGTTGATTTAAATGTTGAACTGAAGATCTGATTGTGTGATTTTAGTAGCTGTCTCCAGCTTGGAATACTTACTTAATTAATCATACTTAATAGTGACAATCTTCGGGCCTATCCATTGTTTTGCTAACTCAATGCTCTGCTGTTGTAAGAGGCCTGTCGGTCACTCTGTAAACACTACGAAGATTATACTAAACGTCTTTCACAATCAAACTAGTTGCCCTGGTATAAGTAAGTTGATATAAAGTGAAGAGGAGAATTATCTTAACCCATTCGCATAATCACTTTAGTTTATGAGGCTGACCTAAGCGAGGTGTATATCCCCTCAGCTGCGGCCAGGAGCTCCGTGAATTGTCGCTTACAGGGGCTAACTCTTTCAACATCTGTATTTACTTATTATTTACCCCCTATAATACTAAAAGATATATAACTAGATATAAAAGATCCAGCTGCTCGCCGTCTATATATTCTACTATCAAATTAGCCCGAAAAACGTATTTCGACTATAATAGTACTAGTACTAGTTTATACTAGATATTACGCTCTAAAAAAGAGTATATTAGACCTAATTACTAATAAAATTATAAGAGCGATAATAATATATTAAATCTACTACGTCTATAGTAGATTTAATAATTATTTATATAAAAGAAGGCCGTTGTCTTATTGTCGCTATAATATCCGAGTGAATATACTCGGTGGCACGGACCACCTGACTAGGCTGGTCCTGCCTATATTATCGTAGTACGACTTCTATACCTTTGACTCGGTGTATATTAATAATAGGAATAGTCTAATACCAAGGTTTAGCCTTTTCCTATATTATACCTTATATTTAATAATAAAGTTAAACTAATACTAATTAGTATTACGCGTAAGTTATATAGATTAGAGGCTTATAATACTTTTAAGACTTTATTTATAAAGCTATTTATACTATAAATAAGCTAAAAGTACTTCATAACTCTACTACTATAAAATACTAGAATACTACTATACTGTAACGAATACTCAAACTGGCTAACTAAACTTGGCTGGGTGTTCGCTGGTTGGTAGGTATGCTATGATAAGTGTGACAGACGTGCTTCAGGTAGAACTCAGAACAATTAACACTCTATTCTTAGGACAAAAGACGAGGAAAGAAGGAGAGCTCGAGAGAGCTGGGAACTAAATACAGGTCGTGCGCGCTAGCGCCTCGCTAAGCGAGCATGTGACATCCAGCCTTCGTGACCATAACCGTCACAATAAGAAGAAGACTAACTTATCGGGTTGTTGTCACGAATCACGTGCTCACGTGATACTTGTCATAATAAGAGGCGCAACCCTCAACAGGCATACCCAGGTTTCTTATAGCAAATAGGGATCGCTTAGGGTAGCTAAGCGATCCAGGGATTTCCATTGGTTATGGTCACATGATTAAGTTGGATCGCTGGATCGCTCGGCGACCTAGCGAAACGGACCGCCAGCTCGACAGGCGAGTTGGCTACCCAGATCATAGTACTTGAGGATGAAGGTTCTATATAAGACTGGCACGTCTGCCATTAGATAGGAGCTTCGTGCTCAACTTAGTTATCAATCTTATCATATTTGTTTGACATCTTTGATACAAGTAACGAGTTCACTTCCAAGTGAACAACCCGATAGTCTTCTTCTTATCATAGCATACCAACCAGCGAACACCCAGCCAATTTTAGTTAGCCAGTTTGAGTATTCGTTACACTATCTTAGGTAAGATGCTTAAATTAACAATTTATATAGATTCTAAGTTAATATACGAATACTTAATAAAACTTAGTATAATAAAGGAGAAGCGTCTTATAATTAATATAATAGTATTACGCTAGGCGTATAAACGATATAAAATCTATGAGATCCTTTAGATTAAGGGAACTACGAACCTACTAATACTATAACGAAATTAAAGCCCTACTAGGTATTAGTTATACTTATTAATATAAATAAGATTAAGATTATAGTCGAAGAGTAGGTTAAACACGAGGATATTAGTAAAGGACAAAACAACGATAATATAGAGAATTAGTAGATTTAGATAGATTTACGAATTATAAGGTATTAATAGACTTAATCGATATTAGGGAAGAAATTAACGGATTTAATTAGTTAAGAACTTTAGATAATTAGTTATTTATACCGAGACTTTTACTTCTTGTAAAGTAAGCCTAGTATCGCTATAATATCCGAGTAAATATAATTAGTAGCACAGATCACCTAACTAAGCTAGTCCTACCTATATTATCGCGGTACGACTTCTATACCTTTAACTTAGTATATATTAATAATAGGAATAGTCTAATAACGTACTTCATAAGGAGTCCGGATTTATAAGCAGTCCGGATTTTTTACCCCACCATTGACCACCCTACACACTTTCAATCTACATAACTTACCCAATTATTGTTCAAATGTCTCTAAAAGAAGGTCAAATTGCTCTTGCAATCAGTGCATACAATAAGGGTCAATTTACAAGCTTAAAAGCAGCTTGTACAAGGTACGACGCGCCATATTCTACTACTTACGACCGCGTCAAGGGAGCTATTCCACAACGCGATTTCCGACCCCGAAACCAGAAACTCACCGACCTCGAGGAATCAGCACTTATACAATGGATGTTATCAATGGAAGCTAGAGGTCTGCCAGTACGGAAAGATTCGATACGCCAAATGGCCGATTTACTACTGGAAAAGCGAACTGGAGTAGGTCGAATTATTGTCGGAAAATGCTGGGTTGACAACTTTATAAAGCGCCACGACTCTTTACGGACGAAATACACTCGTAAATACGACTATAAGCGCGCAAAATGCGAGGATCCTACGATTATCCGAGATTGGTTTCGATTAGTACATAATATTGTTGCGAAATATGGTATACTAGCGGAGGATATATACAATTTCGACGAGACTGGCTTTCAGATGGGAGTAATTGCGACCGCAAAAGTTGTTACAGGGTCAGAATATACAGGACGGGCTATTCATATACAACCAGGGAATCGCGAATGGGTTACAGTTGTCGAATCAATTTGTGCAGATGGATGGGTGTTGCCTCCAATGGTTATATTTGAGGGCAAGGTGCATATATCGACTTGGTATACAGATCAATTACCAGCAGATTGGACAATTGCACTTAGTGATAAAGGGTGGACCAATGATTCCTTAGGTCTTAAGTGGCTTTCAGACGTATTTGAGAAATATACCAAGGACCGTGTAAAAGGAGTATATCGACTTTTAATCCTCGATGGCCATGGTAGTCATTCTACTCCCGAATTCGATCTTTTCTGTTCAGAACATAACATCATAACGCTTTGTATGCCACCGCACTCATCTCATCTTTTACAGCCATTAGATGTTAGTTGCTTTGCAGTTTTAAAGCGACTTTATGGACGAGGAGTCGAGGAGCTAGTACGAGCCGGCACATATCATATCGATAAACCAGACTTCCTTTCAATATATCGTGTAGCCCGTACAAGTACTATGGTCAAAAACACAATCTGTAATGGATTCGCAACTACTGGCCTTGTCCCGTACAACCCAGATCAAGTATTGAGTAAATTACATACTCAATTACATACGCCTACTCCTCCTTTACTTTCTCCAAACCTACTACCTTGGGTCCCTGAGACACCCCATAATACATATGAGGCAGATCAGCAAACCCAGACAATTAAAGCATCTATTAAACGACGTACAAACGTTCTCTCAAGCCCTACTGCTATTGCATTAGATCAATTGGTTAAAGGGTGTAAGATGGCTATGCAATCAGCTACGGTTTTGGCAGAGGAAAATCGACGTTTACGAGCTGAATCTGAACGTCAAAAGAAGAAGAAGACTGTGCGACGTCAATATATTGCTACTGGGGGTGTTCTTACAGGTCAGGAAGGGAGGGAACTTATTCAAAATAGTGACAATATGGTTTTGGATGAAGCTGTGGCCCCGCTAATTGAACCACGAATTCGTGCACCACGAACCTGTAGTATATGTAGATCACTAGCGCATACTGCTCCTAGGTGCCCAGATCGAGAATAAGAAAGACAGTATAGTTTATATAAATAAATATTAAGTGATTAAAGTTCTATGATTTTTAAAAGTTGGATGGTGGGGTAAAAAATCCGGACTGCTTATAATCCGGACTCCTTATGAAGTACGTTACTAAGGTTTAGCCTCTTCTTATATTACACCTTATATTTGACAATAAAGTCAAACCAACACTTATAGCTTTTGTCAAATATAGTTAAAACTAGTATGAACACTAGGTTCTATTGGATCGCTTAGAATTCTTGGGAATACGCTTGGGCCACGGAGCTCCTGGCCGCAGCTGAGGGGATAGAGCGATACTACATCTCCTAACAAACCCCCAGCTTTCAAATGGCAAAATGCCGAGAAATCACGCTCAGGAGGCGGAAGGTTTCCTCAAATATTAAGATTGATTGTGGGAAATCTCTAGGGGGTTTCTCATTGGGGTTTTTCAAGAAACAGCGATCGCCTCCTCACATTTGGCAAAAATTAATATAACGTCCTACTATTTGATGTTCGTCCCTGAATACCGCCAGAGTAACATACCATACCAAAGAAAGCCCTCGGCTTCCTACTCATCACTCATAGATTACAAAATGGGTTCAATTGCCAGAGTTACATACAAACCTGACCTCGAGCTCAGAATCGCAGCACTAAAAAACCACCATGAAATCAACGATGTGTTCTATCTCCTTTGCGGGGCTTTTCATTCGGAAACTGTGGCCCGACACGCCTGCAGTACGGCAAGGGTGGATGGACACAAACCGACATGATACGGAGAACAAACCGTCCACCAGATCATCCAATTATCTTGAAGAGTGAAATTTGAGGAGAGATATCGACCATGGGATGAGGAATATTATAACAAGTTATGTGATGGGCTTTTGGGCGAATTGGATGGAAATGAAGGCATTCTTGGGGGGTGAGCGATACTATTTTGAGTTCAGACCAAGCAGTTTTTGAAAACTCTTTGATAGGAATAGATTTAGACTTTTTACCCTTCCCGACTATCGCCATCTCGAGGATACGAGTCTCCTAATCAATTTGGAACCAAGCCACCGGTTAAAGATCATTTGAGATGTTTTTTAATAGCGAGCGGATGATAGTACAATTGTACAAAAGTTATAGCTCATAGGGTAGGAACCGGCTTTATTCAAGGGGTTACTTGCACTTCCTATTTGACACTAACTTAGAAGTTAGTCAGGGAAGATGGCGTGGAAAGAAAACGAAAGACAAGATCAAAATTACAAGGGCCCGACTCCATTTGATAGTGGATTCTTCGGGATTACTCACACAAAGTAGAGAGATGCTATGGTATAATTATTCGTCACACCAATCGCTCCTTTGCCATAATGTTGCTGGGCTACTCTTAGTCGAACCAATTGTAAAATCATCGAAGATTTCCCCGGTAACTTCTCACAGTTAATTATACTACAAGCTCTCACGGCAGTCCATCCACTCTATTAAATCTTGAGCTTTGATCACGAAATGAGAAATGCTCTCGAATCTTGCCTTCAAACGAAATGGGAGGTTTCTGCATAAAGACGAAAAGCTCAACTAGCAATATATACTTATCGTTCTCATAAGTTCGTAACACGCCGCGTCTAAGTGACTCAATTCTTGGATTAATTGCCTTATTTACATGAGATAATTAGAAGAATTGCTTGGTCTATTGGGAGTTCTAGGAACGATTTGAGATTATTCTAGACCTATCAAAATTGTCCAGTAACAGGATTGGGGGATTGTTTCTGGATTAATAATAGATAGGACCACTAGTTACTTCAGGAAATAAGCTACCTTTTCTTTTTCCCCGAGCAAAATTTGTCACGCGAACGAATTGATTGTTCAGCTTTCGTTTCTTAGAGTTTAAATATAATTAGAAAGTTCTTGTAGCCGATTTCAGCGATAGCTTAGTATTTAAGTTCATTCTAAGAAGTGGATAAAAACTGTGTAATACATGTGCTAAACGCCCCATTAAAGGGATTTTGTCGCAGATACTATTGTATACAACTTTTAATAGCGTCATATATATATATTTTATAGAGTAATTTTGAATACGCGATTTACTAGCTGATTATCGTGTAATAAGGAGACTAATACTTAAAATTGTCTAAGCTAGGTCTATGTTAATTGTTATATTAGCGAGTCTAAGTAGGCTACATATACTAAGGATAAAGTCTAAATAACTTTAAATACGATATAGAACTAGACTTAATTAATGACTGATTTGTAGGATAACCTAGGTATATTTACTACTGACTACGCTCGCTTCCCTCCTAGCTGTACAAGTTATCTTTGTAACTCTAACATGGCCTTTACACGGCTTTTAGTCCTCGGGCCCCTGGACCTTACAGATAAAATATCACTTAACCCACAAGAATTAGCTGTAAGCTGATATTACCTCACCCAAAAAATTAGCCTAACCTTGTTCAAGAATTTAGTTTTCCCATCCTGTCTTCTCCAAGGTTGCTCAGCAGTGTTTCCTTGTTGAGTTTGTAGGGGAGGTAGAAACAAGACGCGCTAGTAAATCAAATGATTTCCACGTTAATTCCGCCTGATTTTGTCGTAGGTACAGTTTACCTATCGAGTCTGGGATTCACTAAGACGCGAGATTCGGCAGCGTTTCGTTGCGCTGCGGCTTTCATTTGGTGGGACCTTGTTTTGTCTAAAAAACTTTTGTTCACTTCTACTCAAAGTTCTTCTACCTCTGCACCCTATCCTTTTTTCGCGTTATTTGTAACTTGTTTTCCCAACCAGCACAGAGAGACTCGCTTTGTGCTTCAGCGAAGAATGAGTGCAACACTCCCTAGAATCAATGACGTCATGATGGCTCATGGTCTTGTACATGTATCGCAAGTAACTACTTCCATGGCGGCATGAAGGTGTGAGGATGTATTCTGCCGGTTTAGCAAATTATAAGCTTTTCAATTCTTGGATAAATTCAAGCCTTGAACAAAATGCCGTACTGTAACAATCAAGGCACTACAAGGTAGAGGGTTTGGACAGCTCGGGTCTCCTACCCCACCTCGTCACTTTCTGATATACCTCCACATGAATCCGACAATGCAATTGGCTTAGAGGGTTATATTGTGGGGCTTTACCCTGCCTATAACGAATCGTATACAGGGGAGGGGGCGACGCGAGCTGTCCAGACCCTTTATGACACAGTCCGAGCACCTAGATTGATTTTTAATAGGCGAAATATAGCAAGCTCGAGATTGAATCTCCAGAATATTTCAGAGAGCAGCAACTGATGATTCTGAAAACTCCACCTGATCTGACATTTAAATTTACCTCGAAGTATAGTGAATGGGAAAGGGGGATTGAACCTTGGCCACATCACCCCACTAGTCCACCCCACTAGTCCACCCCACTAGTCCAACCCACTAGTCCACCTACAGTTTGCCCAACTCACCGTCTACCTAGGTAGGCACCAGTAGAGGCTCTGCTTTCTTTATTTCCCAACGTTAAAAGGTTTTGGTGCTAATCGTGCAATGGTAGAGGAGGGGGAAAAGTAAAAGTCCACAAAAATCTTTTATTCATGATATTTCCCTTGGTCAAATTGGATCACTTCCATAATCTTTGAGACGGTGAACATATGAGATCGGGCGCGAGCTAGTCCATGTTGCAGCTTGGCCTTAAGTCTTCATAGAATTATACCGAATCCGAGGCCTGCACACGTTTGATAAAGTTTGTTATCGTATATTGTTGTGACTCGTGAGGCAGCATCCCAGTCTACTGGTCCACCCTCCGTACAAGACAATCCATCGTTGGGATGACGTTGTTAATGCGAAAAGATAGTTCTTCTTCAAAACCCTAGCGTTACCGTTTGAATGCTACCGCTGGGGATTCCTAGCAATATTTGCGTTCCGTAGGCTCTTCTTTCGGAGTACATAGTAGAAGAAGATTCCATGGCTTCTAAAGGTAAAAGTTCTCTGGTTTACATCGCATACTATTTCTTTTGTCACAAGTGACCTTTGGGCCCCCTCCAAGATGTCGAATATCGTCAAGGTGTCTAAGCTCTGTAATCTTCATCAAAAAAGGAAAGGAAGGGCTTGGTACCATTGGTACTCAGCAGAAGACAGCCCGGAAGAAAGGAAACTCCTTCTTAAACTCGATCTCCTCATTATTCCGTATGCAATCGCTGCCTATTGGATAAAAGGTGTTGATCAGACGAATATCTGTGAGCCATTTCTTACACACAACCCCCCAAATACCCAAGGCAGAGTATTCTAACAACAACAGCCAATGCATACGTTTCTGGTCTCAAAGATGACCTTGGATTCGCTGGGGACGAACTTGTTCGATTGAACTCGATGTACATTGCTGGAGCAGTTATCGGCCAACTTCCATTCACATTGCTATTTCCAATGTTTCCGATGAACTGGATAATACCAGGTATGGAAGTTGGATGGGGGCTTTTCACTTTGTTGCAATACCGCGTGGAGAGTTTCGCCGAATTAGCCGCCTATAGGTTTATGGTTGGATTCTTTGAGGTAAGTGTTCGCAATTTCCAGTGTGAGTAATACCCGCTGACAGCGTATAGGCTGCCTTCTTTCCAGGTGCTCATTATGTACTTGGCTCTTGGTACAGAGGTGATGAATTGGGACGTCGAGGAGGGGTATTCTTCCTGGGGTTTCTGCTTGGAACGACTACTGCAGGCCTGCTTCAAAGTGCAGCATCTCAAAATCTTCACGGGGTCCGGGGAATGGCTGGGTGGAGGTAAGCAGTTTCCATATCTGCTAGCAGAAACGCCTTCACTAAATTGGGATTTCTACAGATGGATGTTCATAATCTGCGCCTTGATTACCATTCCGATTGCCATAGCCGGAGTTCTCATCTGGCCCGGTACGCCGGCAAGACCCAACAGGCTCGTCCTCAGCGAAATAGAAATCTCTAAGGCGAAAGCTCGTCTGGCTGCCAACAAATCAGACATCTACGAGAAACCACACGAGACACGCTTTCAGCTGGTTAAACGTATTGTCACGGACAGAAAGTTATGGATTCTAACCCTGTGGAACACTCTCTACTGGAATGCCAGTACCACATTCTATCGACCGGATCTTCTCTGGTTAAAAAGTCTGAAGAGATTCTCTACACCGAGAGTAAACCAACTGGGTGCAATTGCCCCCTCATTGGGAATGGCCTATTGCCTGTTTGTAAATTTCAGCATGGATTTGCTCTGGGGTCCGAGTGGAGCTATTACATTTGCACTTTCCTGGAATACCATAGCAATGATTATCTTAGCCATATGGGACGTACCAGAGAGCGCTAAGTGGTTTGCATTCAATTCGATTTATACCCATTCTGCTATGAGTAGTGTTTTAAATGGATGGACGAACGATATTTTGCGGGATGATGCAGTGGGAAGGGGGTTTACACTTACATTTATGAATCTTTTTTCGCAGAGTTCGACGGCTTGGACTGGCCTTTTGGCGTTTCCGACATCAGAGGCGCCGAGGTTCTTGACTGGATACATTTATGCTGCGGTCATGTCTGTTCTTGTTGTAAATTTCACTTTTGCCGTCATCCTACCTTTGTCAAAGGGTGTTGACAGGAGTTTGGTTGTGGAAAGCGAGGTGGAGGTAACTGTTGGATCAAAATCAAGCTCGAATGAGAAGGGTTCATGATGGATGAAATTATGGAATTTTTAGAGAATCAATTGATTTGTTTATTACCAACTGATGATGGTACACCAGCGATTAAAGTGTTAAGTTTATTGCTTCTTGGGTAATTGACAGTCGTATTCAATGAGACTACATCTATTTGATACCTCTTTTCTAGGGAATTTCCAGTTTCCCCTTCTAAGCCCGATATCAGAGCTGGTTCTTCTCGGGGTGAATGATTTGATTAAGCGCGGATTTGTTAGGCAGCTGAACAGCTTCGCTGCTAACATATAGCTACTCATACAGGAGCTGGCAAAAGCTACAAATGTATCGTAATCGAGATTTATTAGACCAAAAACAGTGGATAAGCGCATGACCTAATAAGTAGGGGCAAAACACAAATCACTACTAAGTAGAGGATCGATGAGGAACCAGAGTTACTTCACTCGTAGCCTAATGTATTAGCGTGGGGGAAAACCCCAGAAAGAGTGAGCCAGTCAATTGCTCCGAGAATTCTGGCGTATGTCTTCTTATTGACCTAGGCGAAAGAATATACAAATTTCTTGCAATCTTATCTTGCTCAAGTATATCAATGACACAATAACTTCCATAAAGTTCCTCATGTCAGCCCAACCCCCTCAATACGACGTCAAAATCACAAAGCCTCTTTCTTCCCAAGTCCATCATAAAAAACCCTCTCCTCAAAAACTCTGACATCATCGCCAGTAAATACACATCCTTCTCTCTCAGCCTTGATCCTTAGTCTCCTAACCCTCAAAACATCCCACTCAACATTCCTCGTCAAGAACCATGTCCATGCACTGGTCACTCCACTTAATCCAATAGCCGCAGCACAAATAGCAAAAGGAACCTTATAACCGTTGTACGCGTATTTCTCCTGGAATAACTGGGGTCCGACGACACCGCCGACTTGCCCAACGCAGCTTTGGAAGGCAAGGGTGAATGCTGTTCCCGTTGTTCCTGTGAGGGTTGAGGAGCGCCCTACTTTTTGTTAGAAGTGGAAAGAAGGGGGGAAGGAGGACGGGTGCATGTACAAGCCCAGAACGGAATGAAAAATACGGAGTAAAACATTGTTCCGAAGACGACGGCAATGTAGACTGGTACTCTCTCTGTTGTACTTGCTAGTATGATGAAGAATACCAGTGCACTGGTGCATATCCCCATTATCATAGCTGGCCTTGTAATATACGCTCGCTTCAAGAACCAGCCAGCAAAAATGATAGCTAGGACGGTAGCAGCAGCAGGTGGGATATTGAGTAACTGATTTCTCGGTAAACCCGCGAAACCGAGAGAAGTGGTAACGGTGGGGAGTTGCCATTGTAATCCATAACCACCAAGATTTATGAGTAACTGAGAAAGCATAAACCCGTACGTCCTAGGATCTCTTATCGAAGCCCAAATTTCCTTCTTCGTGAAGGCCGAGTCTTCTGTCTTAGGTGCGTTTTCGGAAATCCGAAGTTCGAGATACTCCTGCTCTCGAATCGACAACCACTTCCCACTCCCCTCACTCTTGGGGTAATCTGGCAACACAAAATATACCACCCCGCTGAAGAAAATTGTCCCTATACCCTCAAGAAGATAAACCCACTGCCAAGCACTCATCCCTCCTTTCTGATCCAGATACGAGATACCGTAAGCGAGTAAGGATCCCACAATGCCAGCACAGTTTTGGAATCTAAACATCCACATAATAGGCTTGCCCACCTCGTCGCTGCGGTACCAGGAACAGAGTTGTGCTGCGACTCCTGGGAATATACCAGCTTCCATCATACCAGGGAAGAAACGTGCTGTGTAAAGGCCTTCTTTGGATTTTACGGCGGCGTGGCAGGCTAGCACAACGCCCCAGGAGAAGATAATACGGAATTGCCAATTGCGTGGTGTGGCTTTTTTGAGGAGCAAATTAGAGGGAATTTCGAAGATGATGTATGCGATCTGGCTGTTTGTTAGTGAGTTGAAAAAGTGATGCTTGGGGAAACAGACGAAGTAAATTGATTGGACCCAGTTGTATTGGTTAGACTTCATATTTAATTGCTTCAGAATATTCGTCGGTTGCCCTACTTGCAGGACCTTGACAGAAGCTGCATTTGTATAATCAATCTATATTGAAGTCAGTTTTCCTCTAGCTCTGGCCAGTTTGCAAGTAACTTACATTTTTAATGAGATACATCAGCTCGATAAGCCAGAGAAACCTGCAGTCAACCTTTGTCATGATAGCCCTATCCTCTTCCGCCGTGAAACTAGCCAGAAACGCCGTTTTGTCTGCCACGGAATTACTTCTCAAACTCGCAACCACATGCTCACCCTTTCCAACCTTCTCCCCGTCTTCAGAAGCGTCACTCATATTCCCGCAACAAAGCAGAAACTCTCGACCCAAGTATGAATATCTCTGGATTTCGTGAAAACAAGGAAGTCAGGTAAAGAATGAGCTTCAAACCAAAGTCTCTTCACAGACCGAAATACAAACACAAATAAACTATTGAACTCCATGATCACTCATACCAAAATCCGCTAGAGTAGAATGGAATGTTGAGAAGTGACATCTTAGGTAGGTGACGTCCAATCCCACTTTAATAAATGCATATTTGGGATGTTGCAATATTCCCTGCGGAGTAGGTGATACATCGCTGTAATCACGCAATACATGTACAGGTTCAACCCCGAGAATTGGTGGTAGTATTGACCCCGCATTTTCTGATGTCGAGCTTTCTTATCTATAAGAAAACCTCGATATTAGGATACGCGCTCTAAGGATACCTCGGTTAAAGGATATCCTGAGGTTTTTTTAGGTCCCAAAAATTTATTAGTACCTAAAACAACCTTGCTTATATCCTTAGAAGTAATAAAATTCTCTAAAACTGAGTAAATTTATATAATACCCTAGAGTTTTTAGTATTCAACTAGAACTGGCTAATAAGAATTAAACAATCATATATGATATAACGTGGTTTATCAGCGAGTCGATCATATCAGCGAGTCGATCACTTTTCCTTGGCACTACCTCCTCAAACTTCAACACACGTTTTCTTCATCTATTTACCATGGAAATTCAAACTCAAGAAGCGCGAATTACTCTAGCTATCGAGGCTATTCGGTCGTCCAAAAAACTAAGCAAACGCTCTGCGGCAAAGATCTACAATG